ATTAACATAGTCTGCTATAGGTTTTTTTTTGTCTCCTCCATAACTTCTTCATAGATCAAGGAATTTTGAAAAGACTTGGCACAAATAGTCACATTGATAAGATGATATGTCATGCGTAACATCTGTGTCCCTACCTTTAAGGTCAAGGTCACACTTTGAGGTCAAATATTTACATAGTCTGTTACAGGGTATATTTTGGTTTAAGTCCATAACTTTTTCATAGATCAAGGGATTTTAAAAATACTTTGCACAAATAATCACAATAATAAGACAATATGGCAGGCGCAAAACATGGGTCATTATCTCAAAATTCTGGAAACAAAGTGATCCCTCGGAAGCATTAATCACAACAAAATTTTTTTGTCACACTTATAGGTCAAAGATTAACTTGGTCTGTTATGTGTTATATTTTGTGTCCGATCTTTAACTTCTTCATTATTCAAGGGATTTTGAAAATACCTGGCACAAATAGTTACAATAATAAGACGATATGTCATGCACAACACCCACCTGAACCCCTATCTCCGAGGTCAAGGTCACACTTAGAGGTCAAAGCTTAACATGATAGATTTTTAAATTCCGTGTTTCATTTTGAATCTTTAATAACTTTATTGTTGCATTTGCAGATCTAGCATTGATCATAATTTTGGACTGAAAGTCCCAAGATTCATACCTCAATCTTTTGAAATAGCACAATTTTATGCTTCATATAAAACTTCACTGAGGCGGGGGACGTTGGTTACTCTGTTACAAATTCTTGTTTTAGACTTGATTTTAAACAGAGAGGATGTACAAGTATAGTTCAGTAACATTGTTTACAATCAAAGGTACAGTATAAGATCAATGTTGGTTAATTTCAATAAATTACTAAGTAAAGCTAACTTAAATAAACTGAAACTCCCTTTTGGATGAATATGGATAATTTTACTGAACCTGCATTTGGCCTGTTACGGCCATGGTTATACTTTTGTTATACTTTTGTCTTATATGGTTATATGGTGTACCTCCGACCGAAAACAATAATTTCATTGGTTTATACACCCACAAACAAAGTTTGGGACAGGTTATCATTATAGGAGTGAGATTGTCTGAAAACGGACAAAAGTCCTCCCATGAAGATGACAGAGCAGACAAAAGCCTTCCCATCTCTAATTGGCCAATATGACTTTTGTGCATGGCTGGTATTAATTAACTGGGGTCCTTGATTAGTAACTATAAACATTAATGAAATTTTCTGCTATAACCAAAACCAACAAATTTGTCAGTCATTTTCAGTCATATCACAGTCACTGGATCATTCTTTCTTCATGTTAAATGCAACAGATCATTGATCACCAGTCACGAAACAGTAGTTATGTCAACCAAAATTTGATTCTCTCTGTTAAAACCCTAAATCATTTTATGGAAATAAACAAGAAATATATATTTAGTGTTGTTCAACTTGATAAGCCTTACAGAACAAAATAAAGATAAAGTCTTAAAGAAATTAAGTCAACTTTAAAGAAAGCGTGAAATGGCGTTGCAATTACCTGAAGGGATAAGGTTATTGTTCCGATGTTATCGAATTTTACAGAAGTAAAGAGTTATCTTTCAAGAATAAAATAAACAAATAACCAATACTATAATGATGCAAATGTCTAAAACTTGAACTTTAATTTCTTTCTCATACTCAACTGTTTGGCTTCCAGGAAATGTTAACGTTGTTTTAGCTTTGTGATCTTTGTTTTTTGAATTTCATTCGCTGTACATGCACATAATTATACATTTCATATCTTTCACAGTAGGGATTTTGTCAGCCATATTATTTTTGGACTGGAGGCAGAGCTTTTGTTCAGGAGTGCTTAAAATTGTCTTAAACTCGAGAGTGTTTTAGTTTGTCGGTCCGTTTAGGGTTTCGGATGATAACTGGAGTGAGGAATGAGATACCAAAATCAAACTTAGTATAAAGCAAGTTTATGTAAAGAACTAGGTTGTATTGTTTTTTGACCCGATGGTCAATTTAGTCACATAAATTTGAATATGTATGAAATGTAAGTTTTGCAATTTAACTTTATCTCCATAACTACTGAAGATATTCACTAGACTCTTTTAACAATGACTCAGTTGGTTAACAAAAAGGAATTAACCGTGATAAAGTGCTTAACCAAACATTCTGCCAATGACTTGCATGGTAGAAAACAACAGTTTACCTGCTATCCTCAACAACAACAATTTCTTTTCCTCCAATCACAAATCTGTTTTCTCCTAATATTCCATACACTAATATATGAATTCGATCATAGCCGGTAAAGTTACCTACTGTATGTTATGATTATATTTTGTCAAATGTGCTATAATAACGTTGCAACATAATGGCCTGACAATAATCTAAAACATAGACATTTAAGTAAGTACCTTACCATTGATATATCCTGTACACCAGAATACTCTAAATTGGTAAAAAAATGTGCATTCTAATATATGAACTCTCTTATATCAATTGGTATAGACTTTGAAAGATAAAATTTGATTTTAACTTGTGTGATCTTTGATGTCATAAGTTAATTTCTGATAAGTATACTAGATTTACACTTTCAAGTAGATATCAAATTATTCATATATACTTAATGAAAATGCATGTATCCAGTTCCAAAAACGTTTAGTCTTGTTATTTTTATTTTTCTGGTGTAATCAATAATAAGACCAATGGCAATAATTGATGGAGTGAGCTTTCTTGATACTGCTACACCAACACAATATTGACTTCAGAATAGAAAATAGAATTCAACTGAAAATTTCAATGGCATTAAACATTGTAATACACAGTTTGCATTCAACTCAAATAAGATGGTGATTATATATATGGTATAAAATGAGTAATTGGCATCATAATAAAGTTAAAAACAAAAGGAGTGTAAGGATAGAATCTAGTTTAGCAGACCTAGAAAAAAAAATCACGGATGTTATCTGATACTAGGCATTATTCTGAAAATAATAAACAAATGTGTAAAGGTGTGGGGTATTGGAGGCAGCAGCTTACAATAAGCAATATTCTGATATTGTTTATCTTCCAATGAAGGTCCACTAAACTATAAATCTTGTGTTTTTGAATGTTATATTTAATAAATAGCAAAATGAAGAATATATATTTATGATAATGTTTTGAAAAGCACACATGTGATGGTTTTATCCCTGACTTTTTTAAGATTTTAACTCACTCAGGCTTTTTTAGTTTTTGTGTGCGAATCGGTATCATCGCTACTATTAAAAGGAATGGATTGATATTTCACACTTATGATAGAGCAAAATAGGTCACTATCTAAGACCTTTAACTCTAACATGGATTTTGGTATAATTATAGCCCTTTTTATACATTATCCATGTTTTATTATCAAGCACTGTCAATAGTAAAGTACACTGTCCTACTGCCAGCTCTTGTAATACATATTCTGTGCTAATTTAGCTAACATATAATTGAACAGTTTCTCTTACAATAATAAATTATCCTTGATATTGCGCATTAATGAAATTTATTAGTTCCAGTTGATGAAATTAATTAGCTCAGTCATTTTCATTTTAACATATATAACTGGTACAACATTAATTAAATTTGGTCGATAGCAAGGTTATGTTGAGATATTACATTGATTTACATTTAGGCCTTCTACTAAGGGTCAAGGTCACTATAACTTAAAATAGAATAATTGGTTTCTAGAAGATTACTACAGTTAGGAATGAGATGAGGCATTGGATTGTAATAATAATTTGTATACAGGTGGAATATCAATGACATGTAAGATCTGATTTGTTTCAATATTCAACACTGAATATTGATTTTCCGAGCAGTTAAAATAAGAAACCACATAATTTTCAAAATTGTGAAAGCTCCCCGATGGTTAACTGTTTGAAAGGTCATTAGGTGACCTTCTGTTGGTGCCGTGTAACGTTAATTAGGACTTGATTTTAAACAGAGATGATGGACATGTAGTTTTACTGTAATATAATCACCCCTTTAAATTAAAACATTAAGTTTTGAAATGTTGATCCAACTTGATCTCCACAAATAAGTTTGTTTTAAAAGTGAGAAAAAAACTGAAAGCAAAACGAAGTGCAAAGCAGATTTTAAGCCATATTTCTTTTAGGTTTTGGAGAAGAATCAATCAACACCTTTTTTGATTTACATGGTGGCAAATAAATCTATTTTATTGGAATCTTTTACATCTAAAATCAGAAAACTCTTTACTCCTTATATTCAAACTATAATTAAAGTATATATATTGTAATTTGATCATTCAGCCACTAAATTTTGCATAAGAAAACAAACTTTGTTTGGCATGGTTGTTAAAACAATCATTATGTTTTCCAAAATATTGATTTTCCCTTTGATTTTAATGAAACTTCACAGGAGTGATCAGTGGCAACCAATAGTGTAAGCATGTACGGCTTTTCTGCTCAAATGGCTGCCTGAGCTTAGACATAGAAAAATCTTGTCAGATTTTCATAGGTCCAACTATTTGCATGATTTAGAGGAAACCTCACAGGAGTGGTCAGTACAAATGTAAGTTGTACTGTTGCTGTTATGTTCCATTTCACTACACAAAAAAGCCACCAAGGCTACAAATACAATCCTGCTTTTATATATCAAAATGCTGGCTGGATTTACATACCGCTGTCCACTCCTGAGATTATATATTGGAGAGACAAATGTTTTTATGACAAAAACCTCTTCTAGTTTTAGCCATACTGTCGTTTACTATTGAATGATAAGAGGAGGGAATAAATTCACACACAAAATATACAATAAGACATAAACACCGTTGGTGTAAGTGAAAAAAAACCTTATCTTTCCCTTATCCCACACCAAAAAATGAACCATTGAAGGATGGGAGAGATATGTTTTGTTAAAGTTAACTACTTAAGAAAAATGTGTCGGATTGTTATATTGCCAGCAAAGTCTTCTATAATAATGTTAGTGCATTTTGACATAATTTTAAAACAAAATACTGAATGAAGTAACTTACCATTGATTTATCCAGCACACTAGAATATTGTATATTGTAGACGTGCAACTATGATTTTCCTATCCAACAACTAAACTTCCCTCTATCATTTGATATGTACAATTTAAAAGATAAAATTTCATATTTGGATATTTTGTGATGGCCATAGGAAGATAATAATTGATAAGTGTACTAGATTTACACTGAAGTAGATATTAGAAATTATACATATACATGTATACATATTGAGAAAGCATATTGTATTGAGGCTTGAAAAAGCTTAATTTATTTTTGATCAGATAAAAACATCAATGAGACCAATTTAAACAATGAAGGGGGTACTACTCAAGTGCTAGCACTGAGCTGTTGACAGTCAGTGAGTGCATCTGTATTCTTCTGAATAAAAAATATATTTCAACTAAACGCCATTAAACTTAAAACATATTATGTTTGCATTTAAATTCTAATAAAAGAATGTTTTTTTGTGTTGTTTTTTTTTTTAATTTAAATTCTCTGAATTTCTGAAAAACGTGTGTATGGCAGTGCTTTAAGGACTTTGATTTGTATATATTTATACTGGAATCACTTTTCTCCGTGTATGTTCTTGCGTTTACTTCATGTCCTTTACCCTTTGTGAAAAATTCTCTCCAAACATGGCTCAAATGTTCATCTCATCATGCCCTTACTCAAGGTTGAATGTCAGACATTTTTTTGTCTGTTTTATAAATTGTATGATCCATGAGGGATTTTGTCAAGCTTAACTTAAATATTCACCTTAAAATATAGGGATAATTGGACTGGCATTAAATCATGTGTCATGCCCGATAGCTCAGTTGGTTAGACCACTGACTGTCACTCCTGAGGTTCCGGGTTTTACCCTAACACCCTTGGAATTTTTCAGAAACAATTTCAGTGTTTCCCACCTACCTAGAGGTATACTGGGGTAAGAAACCCAGGTAATCCTTGCATGGTATCTGCTATACACTGGGTATGTAAAAGAACCAAAGTGTCAATTCAATAAGAGCTAGGGTCTGGTTCCCGGATTCCCAGATTCATAGCTGTCTCTGGAGTCTGCTGAGGTAAGAACCCTACTGGAAGTAAGTGCTTGCACTTTCATAGGTTATCTTGACTATCCTATTTAAAGAAAATAAATAAATAAATCAATCAATCAATCAATCATGCAGAGAGGTGGTGGGATTGATACATCACTCATGTGATAACTCTTTGTTACATTAATAGTTTACTGTGAAAGTTTAATTGGTACCCGTCAGTATGGACATAGACACCCTTCAATGCACAGGAAAATGAATCAAAAACATAAAACTCGTTTGCTTAAATGTTTAATAAAATATTTCTATATACAATAAAAACATGAAAGTATTGTCAAAGTTCTATTAATCTTTATCACACTGATTATCTCAAATGAACTTGTCCATCTTTAAGTCTGGATAAAACAAATCATTCTTTTAAGGAAATTTTGAAATAAATATGGCTGAAAAGCAAACAGTGCAGACCATGGTCAGATGGTGCAGTTGTGTCAGCTTATCTAGGTCTGCACTGGTTGCATGGATATAATCAGCTGCCACTAGCAAGATATTAAGGTTTTAATCTAAACTGTACGGTACATTACAGATACAAGCTATATACAGGTATGTTATTAAAAATTAGAAAGTGTTTTAAACAGCAAAATTGTAGTCAAACAAACAGATAAAGTTATTACAGCTATCATAAGGTACTTATATTTTACACAGATGATCACCTTTTATTATAAGTCAAAATATACAAATCTTGCCGAAACTCTATTAGTAATGGAATAAAATTTGTTAATGAAAATAATAAATTCAGTCAAATTTTCCATATGACATATTGTACTTTTACACAGTATGGAATCTTACAGATTAAAGTTATATACATGTATGTTATGAAACAAATAAAGATATTAAATTAAGTAATAATACTTAAATTTCTTTTATAAATATGCTTTAAAATAGTTAAATGTAGCATTATATGGCATAAAATAAACAAAGTATCACAAATGTTAGTATACTATCTATGATAATATACATGTACATGGTGATTGTTAAAAAAAAATTACTGCAATCATATTTTGATTTCCTCTCTCTCATATTTTTTGTTTCTTTGTTGTTGTTTTTTTTTTGTTTTGTTGTTGTTGCTAACTTTGCTAAATTTTTCTTTGTATACACATTCACAATATTAATATTACCGCTTCTATTTTACATTTTACTGCTGTGTATCTATACATCAATAAACAATAGAATTATCTTTCATGATACATAAAATTCTAAAAATTGATCAATGAAGCATATTTTCACCTTTACATTTTCTGTTAAATGATGAAAATTGAAACTTAAAAATCCTTTTGTCTGGAAAGGTGCAAAACTGAAATGTGTACATATTAAGTGTTCTGTATTTTAAGTACTTTATTGTCAAACATCTGTTTGTATACTGCTACAATTTTTCACAATAGATATATTAATAAAACATCTTATTTATTTTGTAAAAAAGACAAAATGTCTGTACATCTATAGATCAACAAAACTTAAGTTAAATGTGTTTTATCATAATGCTACAATAACTTATATAATACAATACTGAATGATGATGATCAGAAGTGTTTATCCCATTGTTAGTGTTGTACCATATCTTGTCATGTCTTTTACATCATTTCATATAATTTGATATAATTGTCAAAACTGCCCGTCCTAAATCTACTAACACATAGTGTCCTGGTTTCAGCACACCAACATGCAGCCCAAGGACTATCTACATCCTCCACAATAGTTTTGCTGTCTTTACAGTCACCACTTACTCTATGTATACAATGACTGTTGTGACCATTCACCAAGAGAGACCCATCATCTAACAGTGTTATACCACTTGGTCCTTCAATTCCTACTGATCCTGTTAAACTACCTGGCTCTTCAAATCGCACTAATCCTATCATCTCCCCTTGCCAGTTAAATCGTAGAACTACATCATTAATAGTGTCATCATCGGATATATAGATTGAATGACTGTTTGTTGTGACAAACATAGGATAACTGAACATGTTATCACCATTTGAATCTTTTTCAACTGTCATTTCAATATTACCTTTCAAGTCCATAATTTGGAGTTTACAAGGATTTGTAAATGTGACTGCAAGTTTTCCGTGATGATGACTGATACCGTAACATTCTCCATCTACCTTCAGTTTGTTCTTTGGTGAGAGTGAGTCTGGTGAGAAGGAAATGAGCTGTATTGTTTTGCTGTCTTGTAATGTAACAGCAAGTGAATCACTGGAAACAATGGTGACATCCAATGGTGATGGGTCAAGCTTCAATTGCTTTATTGTTCCAATACTAATGTGTATCATTTTAATAGAGTCATTAAAGTGATCAGCTGCAAATATTTGATTTTGAGGAGAAACAGCTAAACCACTTATCCAGCAATCACTTTCGTCTGAGGATGATTTAGCATTGATTTTTATAGGAGTAGACATTTTCATTTCTAATGCAGCTTGATTCTTTGGTTCAGCTGTGTGTTTCGTTTTCTTACAGCTCAATGTTCCTAATGATTTCTGATCTTGAAATAATTTTTTGATGTCTTGATTTGGTTCAAAGATGTAATCATCAATGTTATTGATTATTGGTAGTTGTGATATTATATTGTTATTAACTTGAATCAGTTGCTGAGCTATCTTAAGTTCAGTAAACAGTTGGTCAGTTTTCTTGTTTGAATTGAGTTGTTTAAGAGTATCAGCTGATGCTTGAAGTGATTTGTTGATGCCATCACATGTTGGTTCTGTTGTTTTCAACTTTTTGTCGTTGTCAAGTTGGATTAATGTTGCTGTATCTTTAACGTCCTTTTCTAGTTCATCTAATCTCTTATTTATCTCTTTTTTGAAGTTTTCAATTTCTGCTATAGCATCTACAAGAGAAGTTGTTGATTTAGCAACTCTTTGTTTCATGTCACTTGTAATCTGGGAGCATTTGTTTGTCAATTTATCAATATCTTTCAGAGTTTCCTTGAACTCGATGCTGTCTATAACCTGCCCTGATATATCAGGTATGTAGTCCACATGACAGGATGTTGTTGTGTGTTCAAGGGTCACACAGACACTACATATAAGAGCATAATGGTCATGACAGTAGAATTTAATCACTGCCTTGCTGTGTTTAGCACAAGGCTTTGTAAAATCACCAGTCTGTGGACTGGAAGAAGATTTTGATGATCCATGGAGTTTTTGTTGTTGTGGCATGTGATCTTTATCTGAAAGTTGGTGATGGCATAGTGGTTTGGGTTGCCTGTGAGTGTTGAAACAAGGTTGGCATAAGTGTTCCTCACAATCTACACAGTAACCAAAGGCAGGCAGCCTGATATCAGCTCTATCACATATTTCACAATAAATGTCATAATCTTCAGCATCACTTTGAGATAGTGTAGATGATAATTTTTGAGATGCCTTTTTACCAGCAACAGCCATTATTCACCTGGAATACACAAATTGCATACAGTTATTTATGACTAGCAGTGAATTTGCATAAAGAAGAACTTTAACCTTGAGTGCTAACTGCCCAACACAATATGTTACTATCACCTGATCTAAACTTTCATGTTAACTTCAAGTAATGTGATGAAAGCATAATTTCAGATTATTTTATCACCTACGGAACTGCTTTCATACTAATTATTGAAGAAGCTTTGATGCTTACCTCTACCCGGTTAGAATGAAAATCGGGAAAGGTTTGGGTGGGGGACAGGGAAATTATTGTAAAGGTTATAGTAGGTCAATGTTATAATGTTCATAAACTAAGATATTGTAAAGTAGAGTTTTATTAACTTCAGAAACATAGACGTAAAATAAGATTATAAACTCACCAATTATCCTGATAATGCTTATGTATTTTAAATACACAAAGTTTAGTAAATGTTTTTCATCTGACAAGTGAATTTCCATCTAGTTGTTCCACTTTTACTGAAAACTTTACAAAATAAGTTTGTAAAGATGAACTTATTGATTCACAAGTTTGTTCAAACTTGTTCAATATTTGAACAAGCATGGTGTACAAAGGAATTTCACCTGTTGTAAATGCTATCTTGCTTTACAAACAAATTTCACATTTGATAATATCTTGCTGTTGATAACAAATAAATGTCCTTCTTCACAATCCTTGCAATGATATCTCTTGAAATGAAATTAATCTTCGCTATAAAATCATAAATGGCGATATAACAACATGTTTTGTCTGATATAATAAAATTGTGACAAATGTTATACAATATTCTTATTAATTTTTTCTTGATATATTTTTGTCTGTTTTATGAGTATTTCCGCATCCAGCAGCATTACAATTTTTTTTCTCCACAAATAATTGCAAACTTCTCCACATGATTTTTTTTCAAAAGTGAGCCTGTCAGTGAGTAGCATTAAAGAAATCGCCATAAATCAAATTTTCAAAAAATATAATAAATGTCATAATCCAAATTGTCACAGAACATATCATTATGAATAAAATTATTACAGAATATAATGTTGTCCATGTGTCAGCTCAAGGTCAAGGTCACAATTGAAGGTCAAATATATAACAATCAAATATTAGACAGTATGCCGTGCCCGCTTTGTAAGTCCTACACTAATTGAAAAAATTTCTTCAACCTTGGCTCAAATGTTCACCTTAACAAGGTAATATGCCGAACTCATGTTACGGTTGTTACCCTTTTGCCGGCATAAGGTCAAGGTCACACTTGAATGTCAAAAATTGACTTAGAAAATATTCTGAAATTTTTACATGTATTAGGATATGTGGACTGCTTTTTAAACTTGTCCTTTTGACGTCGTATCTGTGATATGCAGGCTTCATATCTTTATCTTTTAGTGATTAACCTGTCCGTGCTATGTCTTATGCCCTGTCCTGTTTTTGTTTGGGGTCCTCCTGGGCTCCTTGCTACTGACTTTTGTTGCTGGGTCGGGTGCAGGCTGTGTTCATTGAACGCCGCCTTTCCTTGATGATCTTGTTGATTATATTTCATAACCTCTGATCCCCTTTCAAAATTCCATTTTATTTAGTTCCGCCCATTGTTTTCTCGTTTAGGGCACACGCATTTTTTTACTTGGGGACCATATGCCGCTTTTCATGGAATGGTACTAACGTGTCACATTGAAGGTTCCATGATAACCGCCATATGAACACATCTGCGGATGTTTCAAAATTCTAAATTTTACCAGTTCATGTTAAATGTTGAATTCTGCTTAAGCCGGTGCTAGGGGGCGTGGACGGTAGTTTGCACATGACAGTACCGTCCATGAACAAGCTCAATCAAACCGAACCTGCAACATTTTCATTTGTGCTGTGTTGGGCTTTCTTTAGGGATTCTTATTTCTCTCTATTTGAATATTTCTATAATTAGAAAATGTATTAGCTTGAAACTTAAAAGATATATGGAGTGTCACAATTAAGATATGCAGGTCAAGTTTCATTACTCTGTATTGCATTTTGACAAAGTTATGTCCCCACTAAGTCTTGAAATTTACATACAATCAAATATATGGCAATATATCGTGTCCGCTCTATAAATGCTATATTAATGGAAGAATTTTCTTCAAACTTTACTCAAATGTTCACCTCAACAAGGTTATGTGCAGAACCCATGTTACCTTTGTGCCGGGTTAAGGTCACACTTGAAGGTCAAAAATTGACTTAGAAAATTTTCTTAAATTTAAACATGTACTTGAATATTTCTGAAACCTTTCACAGGTATTTGCTTGAATGTTAAATGATATATGAGGTCTTACAAGTAAGATATGCAGACAAAGTTTCATAACTCTGCATTGCATTTTGACAAAGTTATGCCCCTTTTTAAGTCTTTAAATTTACATACAATCAATACTAGACAATATGCCGTGTCCGCTCTATAAATTCTATACTAATGGAATGATTTTCTTCAAACTTGACTCAAATGTTCACCCCGACTGGGAAATGTGCAGAACATCTTACCCTTGTGCCAGCTTAAGGTCAAGGCCACACTTGAAGGTCAAAAATTGACTTAGAAAATGTTCTAAAATTTTAACATGTACTTGAATATCCCAAAAATAGAACTGAAAATCATTTGAACTTTCAAATATATACGAAGTGTCACAAGTAAGATATGCAGGTCAAGTTTCATAACTAAAAAAAGTGGGGGGATAACTTTGTATTGTATTTAGACAAAGTTGAGTCCATTTTAATGTCTTTAAATTTATTAACTATAATATTTCTTAAGCCAGAACAGATATTAACTTGAAACTTTAAATTTTATATGAATGGTAACAAGCAAGCTCAGATGACGAATGTTCTACAATTCCATTGAATTATGACACAAGTTATGCCCCTTTTAGGCTTAGATAACCATTAATACTTAAATGTTTCTGAAACAAGAACAGATATTCACTTGAAACTATATAATATATGAAGGGTCACAAGTAACCTCTGTATGCAAAGTTTTTCCACTCTTAATTACATTTTGACAAAATTATGCTATTTTCTTAACTTCACTGTTTTTGTTTGTTTTAGTACATTGGGAAAATGAAAGGTTATTTGAAACTGTTTCGAACATGATTTGACAATATATTTTTATACCATTACCTGTACAATTTGTCTTTTTTCACCAGATAATTTCTTTTTATGTATATGTATTTGTACCACTAAAGTTATTCCCTTAACCACCTTTCCAAGTCATCTTCTGTCAAGGACATTGGTGGTGGTATAAATCGCATTTAGCGATAGTTCTAGTTCAACTTGATCAATAAATTCAGCATTGAACTTACACTCATTCAATATCCTCTATCATTACAGAATATGTTGTTATGCATCAAATTGTTACAGAACCTATTATCATAAACAATTTGTGACTGTAAGTATTGGGTAACATCAAGAACCGGCATCTCAATTTTATTTTAAGTTTTTTCCCTCTCTAATTATGTTATGTAGATATATAAATATGATGCTGTCTCTATCAGAATATTCATTAAAAGTCTAAAGGAAAAAATGATATTTCATATTTTAAGATTTTTTTAAGCTTCATGGCATAAAATTTATCTTTTAAATTTAGCCATGACAAAAATTTAAATGTCTGGGGCATAGGAATATGTTTTCTTTTCACACTTCCATTATTTCAGACTAGAAAGTGTTAAGAAAGTGATAAATGACCCTGATTGTCTGTCTGTCATCTTCTAACAGTTTAATGTAGGGTATGTTTACTATGAATAAAACTGTTCAGAATTACTTTGGTCAAGTTTCAGCACAATTACATTAAGATGATTTGCAGATATTCAACTTCAAGGTCAAGATCAATGCTCAAGATATATGGTTAAACTAGAAATATATTGTTTGCTCTATATCTTTTGAATTGCTTGTATGATATTGATCATAATTTTTTATCTCATATGCAGCAATGCAGAACACATATATCAGACACCCAAGTTGAAGGCCATGGTCACAGTTACAGGTCAAACTTTTGAGTTATCAAGCTTGTTACTTCAATATATCTACTGAATTGCTATAGTAATTTTTATTTTCTTGAAGCTTTGTTCATAATCATATGTATCATTTTGAGACAGTGTGAAGAATCCACATTTCAGGGCTCACTGACGTCACACAAAATTCGATGAATAATATTTCCGGCAATTTTAGCAAATATAACGAATGGACCTCTTCTTTATTTCAAATTATATTTCTAACCTCTAGCAAATGTGTGCATAAGGGCCTTTTGGTAATGTCAGTGAACTGAAAAGTGATGTTGCCATGATGCCACATAATGTTATATAGATAATACTGGATCAGATAAAAACAACAATGCGGTAAGTTTAGAATATTTCTATAAGCAACAAAAACATAAAGTTTAAAGTTTATCAAAGTAATGGTTCTATTAGCCCTTATCAAACTGAATATCTCAAATTGACTTGTACAATTTTCAGTCTAGAAAACAAATCTTCATTCAAGGGACATTGTTAAATAAATATTGAATGCAGAGTAGCAAACAGTGCAGACCATGATCGGATGACACAGTTAGCGTTAGCACAACTGACTGGCTGGCTGATCTTGGTCTGCACTGGTAGCATGGAGATAATCAGTTGCCACTAGAAGGCTTTTTAAAGTTTTAATCAAAACATTATGGGCTCTTACAGATTCATACTATATAATCATGTATGTTTTGATAAAATAGAAATTAGTGTTTTAAACAGCAATATTGTAGTCAAACTAACAGATACATTTATTAAAGCTATCATAAGGCACTTACATTTTACACAGATGATCACCTTATATCATTAGTCAAAATAAGCATTTTTGCCTAATTTCTGTTTGTAATGAGAAAATGCTGAACATTTTAAATTCATCCAAATTTTACTTATAACATTTTAGTGTTTTACAATGTATATGATTTATGGATATATATGCATTTCTTAATATCTGTATATATTTTACTTACTGAAAGTTTGATTTCCTGAAATTCTGTTTATACTCAATTTTAGGTGTGCATCATCCAATTGGTTATCCAAATTTTTAGGGTAATTTAATGTTGACTTAAAACAGATTATGAATAAGAAGTGCCATAAACATTGATGTTTTAATACAAATTTTTGAAAAATACAGTGTTTTTTGTATTTTCTTAAACTAGATTAGGATGTATAAATTATTTTAGTGCTATTTTTATATCAGGCAACATATGTCTAGCCTAAAATTACATCTGCATGAAAAATATGAAATGCAAGAAATTTTTTATAGAAAAATATTTTATGTATAAATATTATAAACACATTAAGGTCTGGTTAAAGCAACATAGTTATAAAAATGATTTTTTATGAAACTTTTAAAAATGCTGAGTGTTATGTCAAATGAAAAAATATAGTGATTAGAGTCACAATTAATAACATTTCAAGTTAAAAATATGCTTTAAAATGTTTAACTTTATATTGCATAAAATTTACAAACCATCTCATGAGCTATTATAATTTATATATATAATATAGATACATTTATAAGATAAGCAGAGGGGAAAAACATGTGACATTTATATCATATATATACTGTCCAAGTGTTTCTTACCTTCAATTTTTTCTATGTAGCAAACTATTCAAGGGATTGACCAATATAAGATACATGGTTGATTATAGTAAAAAAAAAATAAAACTCTTGCTTCAGTCCCACTATTATTTTCTCTCTCTTTGATTTTTCTAAAAAACAATGATCAATGAAACATATCTTCACCTTTACACTATAACAATATGTATGTTCATCTATAGATCAACAAAACTAAAGTTATATGTGATTTATAATGTTTCAATAATTTTTTTATAGTAATGTATTGAACGAATGATGATGATCTGATGCACTTATACAATTGTTATTGTCATGTCATATATTGTCATGTCCTTTACATCATTTTATATAATTTGATATAATTGCTATCACTGTCATCACTGCCAATGTTTCTTCTACTCATACAAAGTGTACTAGTTTCAGCACACCAACATGCAGCATAAGGTCTATCTATATCCTCAAGTATAATTTTACTGTCTTTACAGTCACCACTTACTCTATGTATACAATCACTTGTGTAACCATTCACTAAAAGAGACCCATCATCTAACAGTGTTATACCACTGGGTCCTTTAATTCCTACTGATCCTATCATCTCTCCCTGCCAGTTAAATCGTAGAACTGCAGGTTTGTAATAGTCAGATACATAGATTGAATGACTGTTTGTTGTGACATACCAAGGATGACTGAATATATTGCCACCATTGGAATCTTTATCAACTGTAATTTTAGCATTACCTTTCAAGTTCATGATTTGGAGTTTACCAGGTTCTATAAATGTGACTGCAAGTTTTCCCTGATGATGACTGATACCATGACACTCTCCATCTACCTTCAGTTTGTTCTTCAGTGAGAGTGAGTCTGGGGAGAAAGAAATGAACTGTATTGTTTTACTATCTGGTAATGTAACAGCAAATGAATCTGTGGTGACTATGGTGATATCCCAGGGTTTCGAGTCAAGCTTTAATTGTTTGACATCTCCATTTATACTGTCTATCATTTTAATAGATTGATTTTTGAAATCTGCTGCAAATAATTGATGTTGAGGATAAACAGCTATACCAGAAATCCGGCAATTACTTTTATCTGAGGATGATTTAGCATTGATATATTTTATAGGAGTAGACAACTTCATTCCTACTGCAGTTGGATTCTTTGGTTCATCTGTGTGTTTCCTTTTCTTACTGCTCAATGTTCCTAATGATTTATCATCCTGAAGGACTTTCTTGATACCTTGATTTGGTTCAAAGATGTACTCATCAATGTCATTGAGTGTTTGTAGTTGTGATATTATATTACTATTATTTTGAATAAGTTGCTGAGCTCTCTTAAGTTCAGCAAACAATTGGTCAGTTTTCTTGTTTGAATTGAGATGTTTCAGAGTATCAGCTGATGCTTGAAGTGATTTGTTGATGTCATCACATGTTGTTTCTGTTGTTTTCATCTTTTTGTTGTTGTCAAGTTGGATTGTTATTGTAGTATCTTTAACCTCCTTTTCTAGTTCATCTAATCTCTTGTTTATCTCTTTTCTGAATTTGTCAATTTCTGCTATAGCATCGTTCAGAGAAGTTGTTGATTTAGCAACTCTTTGTTTCAGGTCACTTGTCATCTGAGAGCATTTGTTTATCAATTTATCAATATCTTTCAGAGCTTCCTTGAACTCAGTGCTGTCTAAAGTCTGCCCTGATATATCAGGTATGTAGTCCACATGACAGGATGTTGGTGTGTGTTCAAGGGTCACACAAACACTACATATAAGAGCATTATGGTCATGACAGTAGAATTTGATCACTTCTTTGGTGTGTTTAGTACAAGGCTTTGTTAAATCACCAGTCTGTGGACTGGAAATGAATTTCGATGATCTATGGAGTTTTTGTTGTTGTGGCATGTGATCTTTATCTAAGAGTTGGTGATGGCATAGTGGTCTTGGTAGCCTATGAGTGTTGAAACAAGACTGGCATAAGTGTTCCTCACAATCTACACAGTAACCAAAGGCAGGAAGCCTTATATCAGCTCTGTCACATATTTCACAATAAATGTCAAAATCTTCAGCACCACCTTGAGATAGTGTAGATGAGAATTTCTGAGATGCCTTTTTACCAGGAACAGCCATTATTCACCTGGAATACACAAATATCATACAGTTATTTATGGCCAGCAGTGAATTTGCCAGAAAGAATTTAACATTGAGTGATTTTGCCCAATATAATTTGTTAACACCTGATCTAAGCTTGCATGTTAACTTTCAGTAATGTATTGGAAGCATGATTTCAGATTATTTTACCATGTAGGGAACTGCTTTCACATTAATTATAGCAAAATCTTTTATGCTCACCTCTACCCTAGACCAAGTTACATTGAAAATCAGGAAAGATGTGGGAGGGGTATGGGAAAATTATTGTCTGGATTATTATAGGTCAATGTTATAATGTTAATAAAATAAGATATTGTAATTTTGAGCTTTATTAACTTGATAAATAATATTATAAACTCACCATTTATCCTGCTTATGCTGTGATATTTTAAATACACAAAGTTTAGTAAATATTTCTTATCTAACAAATGAACTTCCGTCTAGTCTATCCACTGATATAAAATGTTTACAAAGTCAACAACTGATTCAAAAGCCAAAACTTGTTCAATATTTGAAGTATCATGTTACATGATATAATTGTACACACACAAAAGATAATTCAATATTTTACATGTTTGTAAATCCATACATGTATATATATAGATATTATTAAACTATAGTCTAGTTAATATGCTCATGTTGTAATGAATAGTCAAATTAATTGGTATGAATGGAATTTAATTGCTTGTTCACAATGTGATGTCAAATCAGTTAATACAAAAAATAAAATGTCCTTCTTCACAATACCAAGGATAGATCTTGAAATGAAATATATCTTCGCTATAAAATTCATAATTATGTTTTGTCTAGTACATGTATAACAAAAGTGTGACAAATTTCATACAATATTTAAATAACTAATTTTTTCTTGATTAATTTTTGTTCGTTTTCCCACATCCAGCAGCATTACAATTTTTTCTCAACAAATAATTGCAAACTTCTCCACATGCAAGTTTTTCAACAGTGAATCTGAGTGAGTAGCATTAAAAATATTTTCATAAATCAAATTTCCACCCAATATATCAAATGTCATTATCCAAATTGTCACAGAACATATATAGTTATGAATCAAATTGTCATATATGTAATGTCATTAATCAAATCGTCACAGAATATAATGTCATAATCTTATCATTTTTACATTCTTGAAGCTTTGTTCTCATTTTGAGTCAGTGTGAAGAACCCACATTTCTAGGCTCACTTTCGATGAAAAAATGTTCCCAACAATTCCACAAATATCATGAATAGACCTCTTCCTGAATTCAAATTATATTTCTTTTCTACCGTAGCATTAAGGCCATTTGATAATGTCAGTGACTTAAAAAGTGATGCTGCCATGTGGCATTACATATAGTTACCTTCTGATGTCACATAATGCGATATAGATGATACTGGATTAGATAAAAACCAACAGTGCGGTCAGCAGCATGTATATAATATGTTGCCACCAGTAGGTTATTGAGGATTTAATCAAAACAATATGGGATCTTACGGATTCATGCAATATAAGACATGTATGTTATGAAAAAAATAGAAAGTGTTCTAAACAGTAAAATTGTTGTCAGATGAACACAAAATTATTATAGCTATCATATTAAGGCGCTTATATTCTTAACAAATGATTACCTTATATTATCAGTCAAAATATGCAAATTTTCCCTAAACTCTATTCGTAATGGGATGAGATTTAGTGAAAATAGTAAATTCAGTAAAATTTTGCTTAAAGCATTGTACAGCACTGACATGATATTTGGTATAGGTAGAGCTTAACATAAATCCAACTTGCCGTTTAAGGTTAACATCGTATTAACAGACGGACAAACAGCAGACAGACGGGCGGACGGTTAAATACTGCATGCCCTGGGCATAAAAACAAATGAATTGTAACTGGTAAGAACATGCACATAATTTTCTGAATTGTTCCTTTAAGATATGAATCGTTCTTTATAATTAAATGTTCCGATGCAACACGTGAACGTAACAACATGGGAGGCACTTCTTCTGTTAGTGAACACGTTAAAGATATACGGATAACAATTATTCATAATTCGTCTGATAAATTGCAACAATGCTAAATACGTAAAAAGATTTAGAACTCACTTTCTATGGTCTTTGTCAAAATACTTATACCGCCAAATATTGTCAACATAAGCAAAATGGAAAGATCAGTATTATTTTTCGTTTCTAATACCTGTTTGTACGGACCTACTACACATGTATTGCAACAAGATAAGAAATCAGACTATACCATGCGGTGAAATTGGACGACACTGAAATCTTCGGTTACAGATGTCTGATGAAGACAACAAATTTGAATATATGTTATGCTACAGCACAGAAATGTATGTATAGCTCAAAGGCAACTGGCCGGGTCATCACAAAAGTCCACCTTAAGGACATTGCCAGTATTGTTAAATAAACAATTTAATACGATAATACGATCTGTAATTTTAAACTGCATATACATGTAATTAAAATTGTTTACTTTATACATATGTCATTTAGACAAGTCTTTTGTCTATTAAGAAAAAGATCGATAACCAGCAAAAATTGACCAATTATTAAAAGAGAAGCAAACGTTTTCGTTATTTAACCAAAATCGATTTCGCTCATGTAAACAATTTACAGGTTAATGCCAACATTTATGTACTCATATGATTTAAACCGCAATGGGAATTATGTTTGGGAATCAAATCCCCCTTTGTGTGGAATTGCACAATAGAATTGTACATTATCGCCGTTGGTATACATATTTAATAAAATGAAAAATCAGGTAGAGCAACAACTTACCAACGGTCAAGTAAAGCACATGCATGCCTACTTTAAACACAATTAAATCATAAATGTGTCTGAGAAACACTTTTCTCTAATTAAGAAAGCGGAAGTAAAACGAATTAAATGTATGGCCATTAAGAATAATAAATTTACTAATTACAATTGATATACACCCTTAAAAGTGGGAAAATGTGTGGTGAAAGCGTACCGGTATCCTATCAAAGAGCCAATTATTAGTACTACCTTACAAGTCTTCTCTGCTGTACTAAGGCAAAATACTTCTTACGAAACGCGCCAGACTTTATGTATCAAAATTTGGATATTTCCATTTAATGAATTTATGGCATATGCAATATCACGCCTAATTCATTGAAATGCATAATGTGTTGATCTCATTCACATTTAAGTAAAATCCTTTACCACTGCCAAGCCTGCACTACCGCGCTGTCTGACCATGCTCTGCACTCTTGGCAATTTATTCCTGTAATCACTTGTACCTTCACATGTTCTGTTCCAAACCTAAACCTAGGCGAATCCAAAACATAAATTCAGTAGATTAACAGACCAATTAAGCTTGCATAGTAAGATAATCAGTATTTCGATTTTAGATTTAGACTTGATGAAAGTAATGCGATTGTTTACAATTACAAATAAGTGGGACAGTCTTTTAATTGTTTAGGCAGATTTATAGTTATCATTAACGTTTCCAATGTCAAATGCTGGTCAACCACCACTACAACACACAATCCTTTGAAATGTAAAGTCAAATCAGTTCAACTTGACAATGAAAAAATGAGAATAACCATGATAGAATATGTTTTCACCAGGCCTTTCACCAAAACGAAATGGTTACATGTGACTTTTTTTTCTTAAAGTATTGACAAAAAGAATAAAAGTAAATGGGATTATGTAAAAACAAACAGGTTAAATGAGAACATTTGATGACAAAAAATGTTTTGATTATAATAGCAGAGTTCTGTTGAAAAAAGTATAATTGGCATCCATTATGATTTTCATGAGACAAGTGACAAAAACAATACCTTGATTCTGTCTGATATTATAATTTATCATGCTAGGCTAAGAGAGATGGACGGCAGCTTGCAATCACTACCGTCTATCAATAGGCTCAGTCAAACCGAGCCTGCAGCATTTTCAGTTTTGTCGTTTTGGAGGTTCTTTAGGGATTCCATTTTTCTTTATTTTACAAAAAAAGAAGAAAAGACTCTGCCGAGCCCTTCACTTCTTTTCTGTACAAAGCCTAAAGAAATTCAGACACTTGTTTGAAAAAGTATATTTATATTTTCGTAAGGAGGAAAAAATACATTTTCACACAGTACATGTTTAAAATTGTTTTATTGTGATGAAAGCAATGCCAATTAACCAACCGACCGTTCACAAAATAATATTAACAGTAATTTTATAATAACACATGTATGGTATAGCATACACAATTGTTTGTCATGCAATTTTCAATGGCTCGAATTCAAAAGATGCAATATGCCCGGATTCTGATATAATTGTCAATGTATCTGATTTGAAATTCATACACACACTGACGATATTGTCTTTGCTGTCTATAGATAGTTCTCTAGACTGTTCACCGCCTTCCTTTATCTGGACTACTTTCTTTCCACAACTCACATAAACATTTTCAAATTTGTCGGTAGCAATTCCTAACGGCGACCTCACTGATATTCCGTGATAGTGGTATACCAATTGTCCCATTACATTAAAAGCGAACACCGCATTTTTTTCCTTATCAGACACAAAAAGAAGATTTTTGTCTTTGTTTGAAGCTAGATTTAAAGGTTCTTCAAAGTAAGCTTGGCCATCAGGATTATTTTGTATCCTACGCAATACATTCCCTTTAATATCAACAAACTGAACTTGCCATTTTGAGTTCAAGAATGCTGCTGATGTTTGAACAGACAATGCTAATCCATTATTGAAAGGCGTAATTCCAAAACAAGCACCCAACGGGGTGCTAAAAGCTTCCTTGAAATCTTCGAAATGTTTTAATTGGTAAACCATCCTTTTGCATGGAATCGTCACGTAAAGGTTGCCTTTGTTTTCGTCGAAACACACATCCCCTGGAAAGGCAAACGACTTGTTCTCATTTTGTTGCCGTTTAGCAACACAAAATCGCTTTCCATGTAGGTAACACAGTGTCCAGTCAAATGTTTGATTTTTATAACATCTCTGAGAAAGGAAGACAGAACTTCCTTCTCGTCCAAGAGTGCCACACCGAACTGACTGGCTAGTAGCTTCGTTCTGATCAATTTGTAATGTGCCTGTAAGAACATGCACAAGGGAAGAATAATAAAACGGATTTTGCCGCTTAGCTAGGTGCTCACAGCACTTTACACACAAGTTCTTTTTACAAACATCACAGTAGGACAATTTTAGATCCTGGTTACATATTTCACAAGGACGCACTTCATCCGAAGAAAATTCAAATATATTAACATTTAAATCGTTGTCTTTAATCACAGAAGAAGCAGTTCCCATTTTATTTTCGCATTTTGTGATGATATTTACAAACATGGAAACAAAAGTTACGTAATATACATATCGACTTTAAAAATACGTGCAATGTAGTGACCGATGTTTTTTCAATTATGTGCAACGTACTTATATCTCCTAAAGCAGTGTCTTTGAGTTTAAAGTTTCAAAACTTAACAAAAATAAGGGTAATACGATCTGTATATTTAAACCGCGTTTTATCAGTATTGTTTGCTCTGTATGTTTTCCATTCAGAGAAGTTTTTCGTCTATTCAAAATAAATATTACAAATAACAAGCGATATTTCGCAATTTCATACAATAGAAGCCAATGTTT